CTGAAAACCCACGTTACATCAAAGGATGAATTGGAACGAGCATGGAGGCCATTCGCATGGTCAGTTGCTTTAAAATCCTACGGTTATCATGCTTTTCTTCAGAATCTACAACAACACACTTGATAGATTATAACTAATCAGCCATGACGTAATGAGCTAGAGATACTCGTGAACCATTCCCAAAATTTACGTTTCGTTTATGGTAGTTTCTACAGAATCAGTAGGAAAAACATGTATAGAGAGTGCCACTGCGATGCCTTGCGAATGAGTTCGTTGACATCCGATATTAATGCAGGCTATAGCCAATTACAGTTTTGTTCGCTGCAGGTGCTGGGATGTGTCAGGTGGCTAGGGTTGGTGCCACCTCGTTTTCCACCAACCGAGGTCGCTTGTCAGCTTGCAAGATTTGTGGAGAACGCGTTGGCGCCGCTCCAAGCCCTACCCCCTTTGACAGGCCCCAGCATTCGCAGCAACACTGTAGCGGTAAAGTATTTCCTCTTACCGTCGTAGACTATACAGGTCACTAACTGATTACAGTAACCGACGCCCTGCTGCCGACATACCCGACGATGCAATCATTGTTCGTGGTACTGGCGATCCATTTTTCACTCCACCCTCCCGTCCTCGTAAAAAGTTAGTCTATCTTCTCTACAGCGCTCGTAAAGCTGCCGTTGTATTGAAAACAAAGTAAAAATAATACTTGCAGGAAATTAGGATTAGGCCCCGATCCCTCCGCATGGATAGACAAAATTAGACGCGGCGAAATCTTGCCAGGCACCAGTATTCAAACGAAGGTTTGTCTTGTGAAGTATTCAAGCAGCTGACAGCGAGATAGTTCTACTCTTTGTTTTAAGATGATGAGGTTGGAGACGGTACTCAAAAACAACGAATTTTCTTTGGAAGAAATTTTTGAGCAGGCACGAACGATCGCCTTCGAAAAGTCAGTTTTTTTTATATTTCCATCTAATCATTACATTTCTATTTTGTTTACTCTGCATATCGAACTGTTCAAATAAACTCTGTTATTAAGGTTCGATTGCCCCATGTGTAGATCGCAGTTCTTCTCAAGAGCGGAATGCTACGATCATTTAGAAATTGAACATCCGATGGCGCGAATAGAAAGGCCGTTGTTTTGTGAGGTGAGGTTTGCCAAATGTGCTCGTTCTGTCAAGCCGTGTTCAGACCACAACGGAATCCGTGGACTCCACAGAATGTGCGGAATCAGCGAAAAAAAAGAGTGCATAAGTATGGGGAGAGTCCGCAGATTTCACCGAGTTCGAAGAAACGCATAAGCGAGAACGCAGACAATCTCTATCATGTCTTCTTCGGCATTTCGCTGACTCTTTCATTTCTGTGCATTCTGCGGACTCGTAAAAATTTCGAAGTAGTGTGCGGAATATCGAAAGTGTCTGTGGGATATGCGGAATCTGCTCACTTTTCGAGCTAGTTCAGCATTCTTTTTTATTCCCCGGATTTTTTTTATGAAAGCGGCCTTGCCGAATACTGACGTCATCTCAACGAAGCTATCATAATGTACTGATTCTTTCCTTTTAGATCTGCTTAAAAGTATTTGCTGATCGTAAATCTCTGGAACAGCACGAAAGTTACCATAAACGAGTCCATCTTATGATAGATAACAACGAAATCGAGGTGAGAACAATCTTTCCATATCAGAAGTACTGCTACTGAAGTAATAGTATACGTACAGTGTTTTTCATGTGAAACATGTGTTTTTCGTTTTCGCTTCTCAGTTTTAGATAGAAGCCAAAAAGTAACCATAGACCATTGTTGCTGCTAGTGTGCAGTGTTTGTGTTAAGAGCTTATTAAGGGGGTTCTGCGTCACTAGTTGAAGAACTAAGTGTAATGGCATACGTTGACATTTAGTATCCATCCATAGTGCTTATTTAGCACTAAAAACGCAAGACACGATGAAATGAAAGGTTTTGATGAATGACAACAGGGAGAGTAGAGAAGTAGCTAGATGTGGCTCGGGTTATGAATTGATTCATTAGGTTATCCTGTGATTTCGTGGCATTTTACAGAATTAACATAAATTTAACCGCTTTTGGAAACTTCCATGAAATTTGTATAAGTAGAGCACCGTATGACCTTTTCCATGTGGCAATCATCTCACTCTCTCTCTCTCTGCCGTCGAATATGGCCGAGTACCTCGCTGAAGATCATCATGCTCTTTTGCCTGTCTCTTTACGCGTATTAGGTTGTCCGGAAAGGTTTGAGAAAATCTCACAGTCTCAGTTTGAAGACGTGTAGCGAGCGAACATCCTACATAAAATCATCCTACTATGTAAACCGCTATGTCCGTTGGTGCGTGCGTGCGTGCGCGTATGTGTTGTGTGTGTGTGTGTCTGTGTTTTTCTGTCTGTCTGTCTGTCTGTCTGTTTGTCACAGAACTCACCGCCGGTCCCAAAGATGGTCGAACGTTGGTTCCAAGATAGGGACAGGAACATTATTGGTGGGTGACTTGAAGTGATATCATTGATAGGATGTTATAAGGGGTGTTAGAAAGTGCGGGTCATCAAATTCATAGCGCCGGTCCCGGCAATGATGTAATGGATTTCGCATTTCTGCATTTCTTCCAATCGATATGTATTGAATGCTTTCCGTTATTTCCGTTCACTTCTTCATTTCTGCATTTCTTCACTTTCGCAAGCTATGAACGCAACTTAATAGCATAAAAAAGCGTAAATTTTCAACATTTATTGGAACTCTAGACATTTTACCGGTCGACTCACCAGGAAAGGTCAACAGGTCAGCCTGGCCATTTGCAATGAGATGCACATCGTTGTACCCGTCTTGAGACGGTGAACTCAAAACTATCTTCAAAATTTGCGGAACGATTCTCTGAGCGGAGTTATGGAGGTTTTTCTTTACTGTTTTTCTTCTTACGGGCGCGCTGGCGCCGAAGCGTTGGCACATGTAGCGCGACTCACAGCGCTCTTCGCGCAAAACAGGTATCATATTCGTGTTCAGGGGGTCAAATAACCCCTAGGGACGTCACCTTAGCAAAATCTGAGCTTCTGACTCAACTTCGAAAAAATGGGGTATGGATAGTCATGGCTGACTGATAGCAACAGCGATACTATGACTAGCATACTGGTGATGACTGGTCTTCGAACTGAAATAACTCTTCAGTCATGTCTTTTCGCAAACAACAGTACCTGGCTTACTTATTTATTTGTGCCTCTGCA